CGCCTCTCCTGTTGCGGCGGCAGATGGTGAAGCAGCGGGTCTGCACGGGCATGCAGCACCGGCTGGGGCAGCAGTACTGCATGGGAGGGCAGCACGAGGACTTGCAGCTCTGCATGGGAGAGCAGCACGAGCTCTTGCAGTAGCTGGGGCTGCTGTAGCAGCACACCATGCGCCTGTTGTTGTTTCTACGGCAGCATCCCATCTTGGCGGAAGGGGTGGAGGTAAAGCTGGAAGGAACAGAGTTTCTTTTAACTCAGCCTGAATATCTCAGCTCTTTAACATACTCATCCCAAAGTCCATCCCAAACTGGCTGGGTAAGTCCCCACTTTCCAGAGTCTCATGTCAGCCTGTCCCTCAGATCTCCACATTTGGCCACCAGTGCATGTGGGGTGTTGTCCAGCACTGGTTCCATCAGAAAGATGCCACCCAGTTGGATCCCAAAGCCAATGTCTCAAGATTAATCCCAAACCAGGTGGTGCAGGAAACCATGGGTGGCTTCCAGCAGAAGCCCACAGAAGGACAGCTCAGTGCACATGAAGAAGCAAGTAGGAAGCTCTGACTTACCTTGTTGACTGGTGAGGACAAGTGAGGAGAAGTCAAGAGGAGCGAATGAAGACCACGGTGCTGGGGAGCCTTTTATATAGTTCAAAGCCACCCCCCTGGAAATGAGCCATTCTTTGGCAATTTTGACCTCACTGTGCATCACCCAGTCTGTGCCTCTCACATGCTTTCCGGTGTTTAATCTTTGCCTCTTCGGCTTTGCTCACCACCTCAGCTCTTCACCCTAATTAGTCGTCCATGCAAACAACAGATGCAAATTTTCTAATGAATTTGCAGTGATGGGAAGTGGAGGTGGCTGGAAGAGATTCCTCTCCACTTCCCCAGGGTGACCTAGAGCCACAGAGACACTTAACAATGTGCCCCGGGAGAGGCGTGTTCTGAAGCAGTGGGAAAACCATGCCTGGAACTTGGGAATGTCACTGTCCACGTGTCCCCTTGGAGCTTGGCTGGTGTTTTGGGGGACCAGGGGAACTCTTGGCCAATGTGAATCCTTTTCTCCTGCCTCTGAGAGGTGGCTGCGTGGTCAAAGTTAAGCCTGAAGAGTTTCTTCTTTATCTGCCTTGTTTTTGGGCTTCTCTCCCCAGTGCTTGGTCCTCACACCCTCTGCTTTTTGTTTCATTGAATCAAGGCTACTATGAGGTCTCCCTAAAGCCTCCTCCAGGCTGAACACCCCAACTCTCCCAGCCTATCTCCAGAGCTGCTCCAGCCCAAGGATCATCTCCATGGCCTCCTTTGAACTCGTTCCAGGAGCTCCATGTCTTTCTTAAGCTGGGGGCTCCAGAACTGGACACAGTTCTCCAGGTGGAGTCTCAAAAGAGCCAAGTAGAGGAGGAGAATAGTGTAGCAGTGACTTCTGACCCAGCTATCCATTAAATGCCAGTAGAAGACCATGATTAGCAACAGGCTTTCAGAGTTCACATCTATCCTAATCAGGACATGGACCTATTGGAGAGGGTCCAGAGGAGGAGCACAAAGGCCATCAGAGGAATTGAACAGGTCGAGAGAGTTGGGGTTGTTCAGCCTGGAGAAGAGAAGGTTTCAAGGACACCTTGTTCCAGGACTTTCAATATTTAAAGGAGGCTTGTAAGAGAGAAGGGGACAGACTTTTTAATGGAGCCTGGAGTGACAGGACAAGGGGGGTAATTTTAAACTACAGGAGGGGAGATTCAGACTAGATGGAAGGAAGAATTTTTGTATGTTGAGAAGGGTGAAACACTGGCCCAGGTTGCCTAGAGAGGTGGCAAATGCCCCATCCATGTGGCACATTCCAGGTCAGGTTGGCCAGGACTCTGAGCAATCTGATCTAGTTGAAGATGCTATTGGATTAAATGGCCTTTAAAGGTTCTTCCAACCCAAACCATTCTGTGGTTGTATGATTTTTCCACAGGGGTCATCTTGGCCAATATGGCGACAATAGAGCCTGATAAAAAGGTGATGAAGGACTTATTCAGTGGATGACATGGATGAGGGTTTACACAAAGAGGACATTACTCCCTCCAGGCAAGTATGTGCCTATAATTGCGTGACCAAAACGTTGCTCCCCCCGGGACAATTCCTGAAGAAGCACCCAACGTCAGAGGAGGGTCATGTTCTCATCTTGGGAAGAAACAACATGTCCCAGCCATCAGAGATCACCTGCCACCACTCCAACCTCACATTCAGAGTCTGCTGACCATGATGGCAACCCTTACCTGCCATAAACAGCAGCTGTCTCAGCATCTTGGGACTCTCATCCTACATTTGTGTCCCCTCTCATCAGATACAAACTCCATCAACACCTTTTTCTTCTCGTGTGGAGATCTCCTGGCTCTGCACGTGGCCAGAACTCTTCCCCTGTCCCCAAGCCTGTTTCATAATCTCTGCCTTGACTTCAACCATCTAATCCACTCCCTCCTGAGGGGTCAGTCAAGCTTGGCCTGCACAGCAGCCAAAACATCTATAAGCAAATGTTGGAGAAGTTCTGCTGGGTGCCTGAACTCAGGTCATCTGTGAGATGGTTTTTAGTAGGGCTTGTAGATAGAGGATGAGGGGTAATGGATTGAAACTGGAAGAGGGGAGGTTTGGATTAGACATTAAGAGGAAACTCTTCCCTGGGAGGGTGGGGAGAGCCTGGAACAGGTTCCCAGAGAAGCTGTGGCTGCCCCATCCTTGGGGGTGTTGAAGGGCAGGTTGGATGGGGCTTGGAGCAGCCTGGGCTGCTGGGAGGTGTCCCTGCCCATGGGGGGGGTTGGATCTAGGTGATCCCTTCCAGTCCAAACCAATCCATAGTTCTATGAACAAAGCAAGAGATGTCAAGGACTTTCTGTTCCATATTTAGAATCAGAATCATAGAATGGTTTGCGCTGGAAGAGACCCTAAAGATCATTTAGATCCACAGCTTCCCTAGGCAGCCTGTGCCAGGGTCTCCCCACCCTCACACTCCACAATTCCCTCCTCAGCTCCAACCTCCAGCTCCCTCTCCCACTTTTCATCCCTCCCCCTCATCCCATCCCTCCCTGCCCTTGGCCCAAGTCCCTCCCTGGCTTTCCTGGAGCCCCTTTAGGCCCTGGAAGCTGCTCTAAGGTCTCCCTGGAGCCTTTTCTTCTCCAGGCTGAACATTTAGATGATCTTGAAGGTCCCTTCCAACCCAAACCATTCCATGATTCTATGATAAACCTTTTCTACATGCCATGCCATGATGTCTTTGCAGACTTCATGGTGGTTCCATGTATTTCAGAGCTCCAGCAGCTCTGTGACTGGGGAGGAATCTTTGATGGCAGCTTTTCCAGCATCTGGTGAAATAAATATTCACACGATTTCCTTACCAGATTGTACTTCTGACATCACAGGGCATCCTTCTACCTGTTGGACCTGATTTACCCCTTAACCAAAAACTCCTGAAGACCTGAATAATCTTTTCAGGAGAGTCTAACATGGTAGAGCAGATGATTCTAATGAAGACTTGGAGCATGCTCTCAAGATTTGTTTGAGGGAAGCAATCAAGAGAGTGCTCAAGGCATTTTCCTGAGACCTGCAATTCAGAGCTGAGTCCTGAATTTTAATGGCAAAGGAAGTCCCAGGCAGGTGGAAAAGGTCTCCTTGACTCATGGATGTGTTATTTTAGGAATGAAGCTTTTACGTTGGATCCTCACACCAGGGTTTCATTCCACTGCTTGTAATCCAGGAACGTGGTGGGTCAGAATCTCTGCTCACAAACCAAGAATTCACCCATGGAAGGAGTTTTTGGAAATGTTATTGGTGAAGGTGGCAGATGGTGGTGGCTGCAGTTCAGTGAGTAGTGAATCCCTCTCAATGTCTTTTTTAATAGGTTCCAGCATCAGGGATGGGTTTCTGTGCATCTTCTGGAGTGTTTTCAGGTGGAGGAATGATGTGTGTTTTGGTCACCTTTATTGACTCTAATAATTTCGTTTTTTAGTCAAAATTGAGCTAATGGTCAGTAAGTGCAAGGAAGGATCAGACCTCTCTGCTTGTGTCTTTAGATATGACCCAGTTTTTGCCAATGGAAGCAGGACTGGGCAGCTGCTGTTCTACTGTGCCAGAGGAGCAGGGCTGCAGCCAGCAGGACCTGCCTGAAGGCACAGGAGATGACACGGGAATGAGGAGACATTCTGGGCACAACTGAACAAGAATCAAAAACAAGGCAGTTTGTGTTTTGCTTAATGCTACGTTTTATTGTCTCCAAGAGTGGAAACGAAGTACATCAACAGCAGAGGTAGCCCAAGTCCCACACACCAAGAAGAGAAGTACCACAGACATCTAACAGCCCTCAGCCCATGGGTGACACTCATGGGCATCGTGGATGTTCTAGAATTAAAAGACGGAAAGAAGAGGACAGCAGAAGTTTGAAGATGAGAAGAAGATCTCTAGGTGTTTACTCCACCATCTTGTGAAGCAGCAGCAAATGAGCAGGTTTTCATCTCCTTGTGCCTGTTCCTGCTGCCCAGCAGAGGTGGGATCCAGCAGAGCTGCTCTTGGGATCCAGCAGAGCTGCTCTTGGGGTCCAGCAGATCTGCTCTTGGAATCCAGCAGAGCTGCACTTGGGGTCCAGCAGAGCTGCTCTTGGGATCCAGCAGAGCTGCTCCTGATACCAGGAGCTGGCTCAGCAAGACTTCTTGATGGCAGCACGGCACTGCTGGATGGGGATGCAGCACTTCCTGGGAGCAGGGCAGCACTGCACGGGGGGGCAACACACCCTGACAGGCTTCACCACGTAGGAGCAGCAGCAGCAGGGCCGGCAGCCGATGCAGCAGATCCGGGGGCTGCAGCCGCAGCAGGACTTCTGGCACACCTTGGCACAGCAGACTGGGGGGCACGGGTTGCAGCAGGGCCTCTGGCACGGGTCACAGCAGACAGACTGCTGGCACGGGTCACAGCAGGAGGACTGCTGGCATGGGTTGCAGCAGGACTGCTGGCACGGGTCACAGCAGACAGACTGCTGGCACGGGTCACAGCAGGAGGACTGTTGGCATGGGTTGCAGCAGGACTGCTGGCACGGGTCACAGCAGGGCTTCTGGCACGGGTCACAGCAGACAGACTGCTGGCATGGGTCACAGCAGGAGGACTGCTGGCATGGGTTGCAGCAGGACTGCTGGCACGGGTCACAACTGGACTGCTGGCACGGGTCACAGCAGACAGACTGCTGGCACGGGTCACAGCAGGAGGACTGCTGGCATGGGTTGCAGCAGGACTGCTGGCACGGGTCACAGCAGGAGGACTGTTGGCATGGGTTGCAGCAGGACTGCTGGCATGGCTCACAACAGGACTGCTGGCATGGGTCACAGCAGCAGGACTGCTGGCACGGGTCACAGCAGATGGTCTTTGCGCAGGGCTGGCTGCAACAGACCGTCTTGCTCTTCACGACGGAGCAGCATCCAGTGGAGCACATGCTGGTTGGAGGGTTGTTGAGCTGGAAGGAGTGGGGAGGACCTGCAAAACAGTGGACTTTCAGACACAACCTGTCTTCCTAGAGATGTGTTTTCTTTTGGCCCACAAATGCTGCCTGGGAGTGGCAGCCACATCACACACTACTTCCAGTTTTTTGAGGTCCTTAGAGAAATCAAGGCAGCTCCCTCTGTCCCTGCAGCACTGTCCATAGAAACATGGGATGGTTTGGGTTGGAAGGGATCTTAAAGATCATCTAGATCCAACCCCCTGCATGGGCAGGGACACCTCCCACCAGCCCAGGCTGCTCCAAGCCCCATCCAACCTGCCCTTGGACACTCCCAAGGAGTGAAAAACCAGAAGAGAACATCACAAAACCATTTGGGTTAGAAGGGACCTTTACAGGTCCTCCAGTCCAACACCCTACAAAGATCAGACACAAAGATTGATCAATTAATTCCATTCCTTGACCAAAAGGAGAACCATTGCCACCAAAGAACACTGTTAGTAGGTCCCACTTACCGTGATAACTGAGTGGTTCAGTTGAGTGAGGAGCAAAGGGACAGGGAGGCCTTTTATTTAGCTCCAAATTGTCTTCCCGGAAATGAGGTACCCCCCAGCAATTCCTGATTTACACACTAAGCCTATACTTATTTGTTGAATATGCCTTCATCTGGTTGGTCTTTGCCTCGTGGTTTTTGACCAGTCCCTCAATTTTGTGTTATTATCAATTTGGTCTCTGAATTTTTTACAATGTTTTAATGTCAAGTTAATCCTCGTGAGATGTGGGGACGTTCCTGCTCATCTGCCACATGCTAATGGTGCTGCTTTGAGATGCTAGGTGGCTTGTTCAGACCTAGTGAGTGCTTAATTAACGTCAAAATCATCATTAAGATTGGGGAGCAGTGGATTCCAGAGTCATGCAGAGGCCTTTTGGACGTCAGTCCCTCCTCGATAGGATTTTTGTTCAAGCAGAATTCCAGCAAGTGATTCCACAGCCCCATGTTGTGTTGTTGAGTGGAGAAATGACTTTCTTTGGGGTCTCAGGTCACCAGAAAGGCAAATCTGGAACAGAAAGTCCTTGACATCTCTTCCCTTGTTCATAGAATTATGAATTGGTTTGGACTGGAAGGGATCACCTAGATCCAACCCCCCCATGGGCAGGGACACCTCCCAGCAGCCCAGGCTGCTCCAAGCCCCATCCAACCTGCCCTTCAACACCCCCAAGGATGGGGCAGCCACAGCTTCCCTGGGCAACCTGGCCCAGGCTCTTCCCACCCTCACAGTGAAGAATTTCTTCCTAATGTCCATCCTAAATCTCCCCTTGTTGCCTCATCCCATCCATGCACTGGGAAGGCCCTTGGCCTTGCTAAGATCAGAAATTTTAGGTGCAAATCCATCATGGAAATTTGGAAGAGAGTTTTGGTCAAACCAGAGCCCATTTCTTTTTGACATCTTTGAATAAAAGCAAAGGACAGAACTTGTCTGGAAGTTTTCCATCCTGCTCATGCTTGGCATAACTCGATCTGCAAAATTCCTATTCCATTAATTTTTAATTTCTAACATGGCCTGGAGTAATGAAAGATCCACCCACGGGTGTTATTTTTGGAATCCCTTCGTGCTCCGTTCCCCGTCACCTGTTGGCATCATTAGTGCTGATGTTAATGATCATGTTGCAATTATTCATTAATGCTGATAATATTTCTTTTGCGTCGAAGCCCGAAGGCATCACGTGCTGCTTTGAGCATCTTCAGGATTTCTAATTAATCTGTGTCTTTTAAAAACAAACAAACTCTCTCTCTCCAATCAGGGGAAACTTCACAGGACCTGGATCCGTGATTGAACGTTTTGTTTCTGAGGTCACTCTGAGGAGAAGGGTTGGACCCTTGGACCCAAAGACTCTTGATCACCCTCCCCTGGAGATACCTTGATTTCTGCTGAGGGAAAGGAAAGATGATTTGGGATGTTTCTGCTGATACAAGAACACAGGTGATCCAGGTCACAGATGCTGAGGACAGGATAGGTCATTGTGAAACTTCAGCTTGACTTTTGGTGGCACAAATCATCTGTTTCCAACCAGTTTCAGTTGGGTAGCTCCTGCTTTCATCTGGCTGCATCCCAGCATTTACAAATCTCCCCAGTCTTGCTCTCAAAGAATCCAAAAGACCATGAAGTCACTCCAGGGAAGATCTTCCCAAGGTCTTCCCAAGGTTCCTATCTGCTAAAGCCAAGGCTTCATTTCCTATGGAGACTGGCTTAATAGGATCATAGATCCTGTGGGGTTGGAAGGGACCTTGAAAGGTGATCTAGTCCAGCCCCCCTGCCGTGCACAGGGACCTTTTTAATTAGATCAGGTTGCTCAGAGCCTGGTTGAGACTTGAATGTTTCCAAGCATGAGGCCTCCACCACCTCTCTGGGCAACCTGTTCCAGTGCTTCACCACCCTCGTTGTAAAGAACTTCATGCTAATGAGCAGGTTAGACTGGGTCACACACTTTGTGATCTAATTAACGACAGAGATTTCCATCAGCTGAGGACCTGCCCCTCAGCTAATGGCAAAGGAGGCTCGTGGCAACCAAGAGGGGATTTCTGAGCCTGCAGAGAAAGGACAGGAGGCTCCAACACCAAAAATGTGGTGGATCCTGAGCAGTTGAGGTCAAGTAAGAGCCATTGGTCAAAAGGAGGTGGGTTTCTGTATGATTTAGTGCTTCATCTGGTGTCCCTGAGAGTACAGAGAAACCTACTGCTGCTGTTCCAGCTGGATGCACTCATTGGAGATACCTAGAGCCACATGAGACAGACCCACAGGCATCTTTGAGACCCACAAACCTTAGAGACCCACAAACAACTTGACAAGAGGAATTTTACAGAAGAAAGATACCAATTAGCTCCAGAAAAAAAAAAGATCTTAATTAAATTTCAGGTGGAATGAGCTTTGCAGGCTCCATGAGGCAGCCAGAGGAACACCACTCTGGATTTGGAATTAGGGATGCAGTGAAGCAATCCTCACCATCAAACAGCTCCAGCAAATTCCTCCCCCATTCATCCTCAGGGGTTTGCTCATGGTTTCTCCTGGTTGTGGGAATTCACTGCTGGGTTATTTAGCACATACTGAGCAGAAACCTCCCTCTAAGCTGTCTAGAGCTTTAGGCAGAGAGGACTTTTCTGCCCAAGTGTCTGGGGGCTGTGATTGAAAACTAAGGGTTCTAATGAGGTGGAACAGTCATGAAGGCTTTGGTCCTTGATGGTCCAGGTGTGAAACCTCTCCAGGGCTGACGAAAGCTTGGAATTGGAGTGGGATAGAATAGAAATACAATAGGAAAGGAGAGGGGAAAAGGGAAAAGAGAGGGGGAAAGGGAAAGGAAAGGAGAGGTGGAAAGGGAAAGGAAAGGAGAGGGGGAGAAGGGGAAAGGGAAAGGAGAAGGGGAAAGGGAAAGGAAAGGAGAAGGGAAAGGAAAGGAGAAGGGGAAAGGGAAAGGAAAGGAGAAGGGGAAAGGGAAAGGAAAGGAGAAGGGGAAAGGGAAAGGAAAGGAGAAGGGGAGAGGGGGAAAGGGAAAGGAAGGGAGAAAGGGAAAAGGGAAAGGAAAGGAGAAGGGGAGAGGGGGAAAGGGAAAGGAAGGGAGAAAGGGAAAAGGGAAAGGAAGGGAGAAGGGGGGAGGGGGAAAGGGAAAGGAAGGGAGAAGGGGAGAGGGGAAAGGGAAAGGACAGGGGAAGGGGAGAGGGGGAAGGGAAAGGACAGGGGAAGGGGAGAGGGGAAAAGGGAAAGGAAAGGAGAAGGGGAGAGGGGGAAAGGGAAAGGAAAGGAGAAGGGGAGAGGGGAAAGGGAAGGGAAAGGAGAAGGGGAGAGGGGAAAAGGGAAAGGAAAGGAGAAGGGGAGAGGGGGAAAGGGAAAGGAAAGAGGAGAGAAAAGGGAAAGGAAAAGAAAAAGCTTTGTTCTTGTTTCCCTGTTACCATTTCCATTTCTCATTTCCATTTCTGAAGTGAATGGAAACCTCAAGCCTGAGCCCAGCAGGAAGTGTCACCAGCTCAGAGGCTTTGAGCCTTTTGTGGGGCCTGGAAAAGGAAGAGGAAACCAAATGTGTTGTGATTAGTCACAGGATGGGAAGTTGCAGGTCTGGGGCACTGAGGGAAAGTGAACTCCTGTGCTTGGAGACCAAACCACTCCTGTGGACACAAAGTCTTCCTGACTCAAAGCTCAGCTGCTGAGGGGTGAAGAATGAGTAAGGAAAAGAGTTTGTAATGTGGCTGCCAAGGGTCGTGGGAAAATGAGGCATCGCTTGGCAAGGGCAACAGCCTTAATGGAGGTAAGTAATTAATTCCTCTCTGAATCCCATTTGCAGCTTTTCCTTTCTAGCTGCCTGTCCCTCTAGAATGACAGTTTTCTCCATAACCTATAAATAAGAAATTCCAATGAGTGACTTCCCAACTGGTCATTTACTGGGGACTTGCAGTGCCCAGCTCATCCAGCCTATTTCCCAGGGATGAATCACCCGGGGGAAACCTTCCCTCCTTGTGCCCTGTAGAAACAGGTTAATTGAGGGTGTTTCAAGGCAGGTTTCAAACCCTGCAGGATTTGCTTTGTTTTGTTTCCAAATATAGTAGCAGCTTTTAAAGACTGTGTCAGCAGTGAAAACATGAGCATGCAGGCCAGGCCCCTGGCTGGAATTCCAACCCCCTTGTTGCATCTACTGAGCTCAGGTGACTTGGTTTCACCAGGAGTAACCCCAAGGTGTTTCTCCCAAGCCTTGGTGTGAGGTGCAGGGCTCCTTCCACCACTGGTGGGTGTCGTGGGCCTTTTCCTTTCAAGTTCCCTTGGTGTTCCTCCTACTTTAGCTGTTTTCACCAGTGATTCAAGCACGGCTCTAAAACCATGAGGCTAAACCAGATGCTGCTAGATGTTAGAGAGATGACTCCAGAACTCTGAGGTAGCGTTGAAATAGCATTTTTATTGTCTTGCTGGAGGGTGAAGGAGCAAAGCAAGCAAGAAACTAGTCCCAGTGGACAG